CCATAGTTCCCCTGACATGATGGACTCTATTATCCTTCTAGAACCATAAGCCAAATAAACCCTTTATCCCTAAGTTGCTTTTTGGCAAGGTATATCACAGCAACAGAAAAGTTAACTAATACTAATATGGGGGGGCTAACCAACAGCTGTCTGATTGGATTTAAGGCCAGCTTCAACAGGAGGGAACTCATGCCTGGTACTAAAACCTTAGCCAAGAACTTGTGGCTAGAGGTCATAGACCTAGGGAGAACCTAATATTATCATTTTGCTCAACTGATATAGTATCTAACTGCCTTCTAAATACCTATATAAAGTTGACCCCCCGCCCCCATATCAGAGAAGCTTCTTTTGGCAGTGGATGGAGGTTAACAAAGAGAACCACAATGATCAAAGTGCAGTGACTGGAGTGCTAATCTCCAAATGGGACATCTATATCATACCCCCACCCCATATCACAGACACACAGATGCGAAGAACAGTTGTGAAACAGTGCCTTCTGGACATGACAGGCAGGTGTACTCATGAAAACTCAATATCCTACACAGAACTATGCAAGATCAATGTAGTCAATATTTCAGCATGGATTCGAGGGGGGGGGTTCCCATAGGAGGAGGGGTTCCACAAGGCCCTACTCTTAGCTGAGAAACTACAGGCAGTTGATAGATGCCAGGGGTGAGAAAGCCAGTTTACTTCAGGGGTGGGACTCCTAGTAAGTTGCCCATGCTTCAACTGACAGCCCTACACCCACTCCATATGGGCCTAATTGGACTCAGTAGATTAAAGTGGGAGTGGGACTTACAGAGGGACTCAGAAAGAGTTGGAGGGGGAGAGAGATTTGACTAAAATAAAATGCAGTCATATAAAAAATTAAATTTAAAACTTTAAAAAGATAATGACACAGTAATCTACACTCTTGGGCAGTAAAGTGTGTAGAAGCACAGTCATTTTAGCCAGCAGGCCTATCCTCAAATGAGCTTTGTGGTTCTCTCATAGATCTCTCAGTAAAAGCTTTAACATAAGGTTTTAAGTAATTATACTTCATTTAATGTGGAGAAACTATAAACTATAGTAACATCTAAAGAGCTTTCAAGACATGCCCCTCAAAATGTAAAGAAACACTTGGGATTTTTATTAACATAAAAGGGCACAGCAATGACATACCAATAACAGTGATTATGATCCTGCCTTGTAGGGTTTCTTACTGTATCAGTTAATAAAACTAATTCAAACAAGAAGTTAGGAAAACAAATCAAAAGGCAACCTATCTGCCTATTTAATTATAAGATGCCACTATCCACTCATTAGAAAAGCTGAAGTTATAAATACCAACAATACCAAGTAGGCAGAAGTGTAATGTGGTGCAATGACTTTGGAAAACACTTGAGTGTTATCTGCTGAAATTCAATGTGGTATGTTCTATGAGTGACTCAAAAACACTCTCCTCAGTTTATCCCAACAGAAATGCAAACCACAAGACATGCACAAATGTTTAGAATGTTTAAGGCAGTATTTTTAAAAATTTAACTTTTTATTTATTTAACATGTATGAGTGTTATGCCTGCATGTATGTAAGCACGCCTGTGTTGTGCAATGCCCAGAGGCCAGAAGACGGCACCGAATCCCCTGGAACTCGAGTTACAGATGGTTGTTAGTTGCTATGTGGGCACTGGAATTCGAACCTGGGTCTTTTGCAAGAGTGGTCAGTGTTCTTAATGGCTGAGACATCTCTCCAGTCCTAAAGCAGTATTATTTTTATTTATTTATTTTATTTTTTTTGAGACAGAGTCTCCCTGTAGCCCCAGCTGTCCTGGAACTCACTATGTAGACCAGGCTGGCCTTGAACTCACAGAGATCCGAGATCCGCCTGCCTCTGCCTCCCAAGTGCTGGGATTAAAGGCATGTGCCACCACACCTGGCTGCAGTATTATTTTTAATAGCACCAAAGCTGAAATAACTCAAATGTCCATAATCATAGGTTGGACAAGTTGTTAGGTATTTTAAAAAATCCACAAGGACAAGCGAGGTAAGTTACAAACTAAAACACACAGAAATCTAACGTTAGTTTGAAGAAACAGAAGCATGAGCTGGGCATACAGCTCAGTGATAGAGGGCTTGTCTAGCAAGTATAAGGCACTGGGTTTGATTCCCAGCAACACAGAAAAGAAAAAGACATAAAACACAAGGGTATGTATTGCATGACTCCATGTATGTTTATTTATAAAAATGAACTCATGGTATTAGAATGGTGACTACCACAGGGGAAAGTGATAACTGAGGGGTGGCATGTAGGTACTCTTCTGTACAGGTCATGATGTTCTATTCCTATTATTGGTAATGAATTCACTCTGTAATTGCTGAACTTCAGGTTTATGTATCCTATACTTCATCAGAAAGTTTACTTAAAAAACAAAAAACTAGAAATGACCAGAAGAATGCAGGAAGAGATGCCATAAGAACTCCCTTTGCGTCTATATTCAGAACCTGCCACTATGCTACTTCGGTGGTCCTCACTAAAACTAATACTGACATTCATGTACACTGGCAATTAAATTTGGGGTAAAGGTGGAACATTGAGAGGTATTTAAGGGCTCCATTATCATGAAAAGATTAATGTGGTTCCTAAAAAATGACTTAAGAGACTCGTGGGATGGTTCAGCAGTTAAGAGCATGTACTACTCTTGCACAGGACTGGAGCTGGGTTCCCAGCACCCAGGTCTGGGGTGTAACTGTAGCTCCAGAGGGATCTGACGCCTCTGGACTCTTCGGGCACCTGCACTCACGTGCATATACCCACATACATACACATAATTACAAATAAATCTTTGCTTAAAAGTGACTGTTGCCAGGCATTGCAGCACACACCTTTAGTCCCAGCACTTGGGAGGCAGAGGCAGTTGGATCTCTAAGTTTGAGGTCAGCCTGGTCTATGTATCTTGTTCCAGGCCAGCTGGGGTTACAGGGAGAGCTTGTCTCAAAAAGACAAAAAGGAAAAAAAAGTAATTGTCATATGAGAGTGGCTTATAAAGTACGGCTATCACTGCCCTTCAGTCCTGGGTGTTCTCACTCTCATATGCATGCTTGTCTTCTGTACAAAGCTCTTTTTTTTTTTTTTTTGGTTTTCATAGTGTAGTATGAAATCTTCATCAGAAGCTGAACCGATGTTGGTATTTCTTAAACCTCCAGAATTGTGAACTAAATAAACCTCTTTTAAAAAAAAATTGGTAATCCTTGGATATTCTGTCATAGCAACACAAAATGGGAGTCATGAAGCCACAAATAAATGAAATGACGTCAACTGTGTTACCCAAGGCCACAAAACAAATTAATAGTAGAGTAAGGGCTGGAATTGAGGTGTGCTAATTTTAGAGTATTTTCAAATTCTTGACTGTTTCTGGGTGTATGCAGAGGGCCCTTGTCATCCAATCATTATCTTCATCGGCAATGAAATGTTATAAATGGAAACAAAAATATAACTCAAATTTTGAGATTCAAAATATTTACCAAAGAATAAGGACACTTATAAAATTGGTCTTCACTCAAACATTCCTCCTCCCCTGGCTTCTGCTCCTGCCAGGCCCTAACAACTGGCCTTGTCAATCATTCTTGGTAAAATCTTTCCTGTTAAGATATTAACTAGAATACTATATAAAACAATGTAATCAACTACAAAGTCAAACTATATATCTTGCAAAAGATGTAGGAATTCATTAGGTTGATAAAGTGCTACTGGAGGAGTCTGAAACACATCCAAGTCAATGGTGAAAGAGCCTCGTCTCCTGGAAGAGCTCCCTGGGTACTCATCAAGTATCCACATTCCTCTTAGTATTCAGTGGCATAGCCTTGATTTTTCTGTAACTGTAATTTAAAGACTGTATTTCTAATTTTAACAATAAACAGATGTCACAACAGTCTAAAGCTAAGTCTAAGAAATAAATGTGGGTCAATTTTTAAAACCAAAGAACTAAAAATAGTCTCAGACAATCCCCTCCTCCTCAACAACATTTGATACTGCAACTTAGTTGCGCCCTATGGGAAGTTAGCATCTGATACTGCAGCTTAGTTGCACCCTATCTAAGAATGAGGTAATGCATTACAAGACTGCAATCCACCGCAGACAATGGTCTTGGGGGTGGGAGGAGACCAGAGAGTTTAAAGGCGTTTGAACACTAGTACCAGATTAAAAACACCAGCAATCCGAAGTTTTCAGTAGGGTAAATACAAAAAGGTTACTAATGTGAGGAGAGATACATAAAATTAGTTACATAAAACAATGAATTCAGTCATTCACCGTTATGGCACAAAGGCTAGGAAGATCTGGGCGTTCCAGAATTTAGCATGTACTGCATCAACGCACTGTGCCAGGAGCTAGTGAACAAAGACAAGATGCTACGGCCAGCATTCGCTTTTTATAGAAAGCAGTTCTTGATTTAGTCATTAAAAAAAAAAATCTTATAACTTCCTCTACTCTGGTCCATACTCACAGCAAAACCACGGTGTTTGTGAAAGCCTTTAATCCCAGTCAGCATTCGCTTTTTATAGAAAGCAGTTCTTGATTTAGTCATTAAAAAAAAAGTCTTATAACTTCCTCTACTCTGGTCCATACTCACAGCAAAACCACGGTGGTGAAAGCCTTTAATCCCAGCACTCGGGAGGCAAAAGCAGGCGGATCTCTGAGATTGAGGCCAGCCTGGTCTACATAAGCGAGTTCAGCCTCCCAACCCCCAAGGCTACACAGTGAGGTCCTGTCTCAAAAATTAAATACCCTCCCCAACCAGATACACAAATTAGGATTTTCTGTTATTCAAGCTCACACCGTGCTTTGTCCTCTAGTCAAACAGGACCAGCGTCAACCACACAGCAAGGCCCCCACAACCTCTTGCCCGTGCATTCTCTGCTACGCAAACGAGCTCACAGAACCAAAAAGCAACTACGCGACTTTGCTTAGCAGCACATGAGATATCATCGCTTAAATAAAATCTTCTCCGGCATCCACAACCCACCTTTCGCTGCCGCGCTGCGGTTTCGTGAGCACACCACATTTTCAAAGAACAAAGAGGTCTTCTCCGTCCTCAGAAAACGCCGTTTACCAGCGCCTGTTTCTGCTCGCAACGAGCAGGAAAGCGAGGCTCCGTCAACCAGATGCACCTGGGCGACCCGGGAGCAGGGTGCGGGGTCCGCACTGCAGAGCAGCCGAGCTCCGGCCGGAGCGATTTGTCCCCGCGGGGCGTCGGGCTGGGTTGCACCGAGGGCCGCTGCACACCAGCTCGCGCCGCACGCAAGCCCGCCCTCCAATGGAAAGCTGCTCGCCTGACAAAGACAACTGCGGCAGCGCTTACACAACCAACCCCGCCGCCGCCCGCCCGAGGAGCCCCGCCGAGTGGGCCTCGGAAGCCCCGCGGCACACGCGCCTGGCGCGAGCAGGCGGGCGGCAGCTAGCCAGGCCCTCCCCGCCCGCCTCCGCGCAGCGCGGGCGGTACCTGCTTCCGCATGTTATTCATGACGCCCATGAAACCCGCCAGCAGCTTGGCCTCTTCCCGAGCGGCGAGTTTCTTCTCCGTCTTCTTCTTGCTGTTCTTCTCCACGCCGGAGGAGGCCATCCTCCCTCGCCCTCCCCGAGCTCGCGGCAGGGCTCCGTCCACCTCACGCGGCGCCCGGCTGGGGAGCAGGGTGCGAAGCGCACGCTTCGGGGCGGCCGCGGGAGGACCGAGCCCTTCAGAGCCTCGGAGCCCGCAGTGCCTGCAGAGGCGCGCTGACCACCGAGCCCACAGGCCACGTCCCTAGGCGAACGCGAGCGGGCCGCCGAGCTTGCGCATTAGGCCCAAGGTGGGTGGGACGCCGAGCGGGGAGTCGGGGCGGGGCGTGCGTCACAGCCGCGCGCCGCCAGGGCCACCGACAGCGTTGCGCAGGGGCAGCTAGTGTTGACTGGGAGCAGGTCCAAGGTCACGTGTGCTTTTCACCTGCCAAAGACAGGGTTCCCGGGGTTAGATGACGTATTTATCTGTTTTTCAAGATTGTACGGAAGAACACCCTAAAATGTCTCCCCTTAATATGAGCACCTTGAGAACGTGGTCGGTGCCCTCTTCACCACAGTATCAGAGCCTGGCATCTTGTAGGCACTCAGTAAACGTTAAATGGTTAAAGAAAATGGCATACTGCAAGGCCAAAGCTGCTTGTTCAGAGCAAAAGATTTACTTGTTTGGGATTCAGAAACAACACAGTCACCCCTTGATGTCTCCTTGGTGTGCCATGCCTGACTGTTTAACAGGCTGGCTTACTCTTTGAAACTGAGATCAGATGTCAGTTCCAGAAAACTCTTTCGCTAGGCTTCTCCAGAAGTTCCACCAACCCATAGAACTCACTCCTAGAACTCATGGAAATGCTTTTCATAACTAGAGTTCTTTATTTTGTTGTTTAGGAATATGCAATATTCTTTGAAAGTGTTACTTTTCATTCTGAAAACTCTACAAGCCTCTCAAGTTCCTACCTACGTGCATATAGGATTAGACGGAAACAAGTTTTATGTAAAATAATCTACACTGTCATGTAAAGTAATGACTGCTTTAAAGAAAATAGATTATCCTGAGCCACACAAGAGCAGTTACAGCTTGGAAGCATGGATACAACTTACCCTGGGTGATGTGTTCCACTATGAAAGAGCTTACATGAACTTTTATAGTCCCAGACCAAAGGAAAGTCATAAATCAAGACACCAAATACATTGGTGGGGGCATCAGATAGGTGGGCTTCAGCAAAGTGGGGAAATCTTTTCCATGGGTTTTGGATGTCATAGAAGTCTCAGCTTTGATGGAAGCTAGAGCCTACTAAGCTTACATTCTCAGAAGTCTATTAGTTAGGAAAATGTTAAATCAGATGCAAATGGCAAGTGGCTATTAAAGGATCTAAAACAAACCCAAGATTATTTTGGCTCTCAATCTGCATCATTCCATTGCTCCACATTCACAATATTCTTGTGTGCCAGAGTCAAGCAGCCTGCAGGATCTGTAATACGGGTGAGCTTCAGAAAAATTTGGTTCACTCTATTGAAGCATTATACTTTCTCTTGAGCAAAAACCATAGGGTAACAGAAAAAGCAGCATGTAAGACACACCAGAAAGACATATGTCTCTGTATATTTTATCTTCTTTTAATTTAGAGGTTTTTGGATAATTTGAGGACTTAGAGTGGGCCTTAGTAGTAAGAATTGCTTATTCTTTTTAAAAAAATATTTTATCATTTTTATTTTATGTGTATGAGTGTATTGCCTGCGTGTATGTGAGTGCACCCCTGTCATACAATGCTGCGGAGGTCAGAAGAGGGCCTTGAACTAGAGTTAAGGACTGTTGGTAGCCACCATGTGGGTCCTCTACAAGAGCAGTCAGTGCTCTTAACCGCTGAGCTATCACTGCAGCCCCAGAATTGCTTATTCTTAATGAAATAGAAATGAGAAAAAAGTTTTATCAGGTGAAACATGGTTTATTAGATGTACACTGAAGAATGAAATCCTAATTTGTGATTGAAATGAATTATTAATAGAAACTTGTCTCCTGATTCTAAAGTTCTGGAAGACAGGAAGGACCCATGATTCAAAAACAGTATAGGTGATACAATGGAATGCTATTCTGTTACAAAGCAAAAACAAAGAAATAAAGCACACATTAGTTTCACCTCCCAACAAGACCTGATTTTCAGAAGTTTCTCTTTACTTCTGTCTGCCTCTTCTTGGGGCTGGCAAGATAGCTAATGTTAAGGGCACTTACCTCCAAGCCTGACTGTCTGATTTCGATCCCCATAACCTGTATGTGAAAGGGTGTGCATGCATACATACACACATGCACCTGCGCGTGCACACACACGCGCTAAATGTAAATATATATGTACATATATCTTAACTGCACATTAAAGTTACATGCACAGACCATTTCTAAATACTCCCTATTTTCAACTTACTGGAGAAGATCACACCTGAAAGCTTGTTTTCCAGAAATACTGATCAGATACATATCACTTTAATCAACATAGAAACCTCAGTCATTTATGTCTTCTTTTGAGCCTCTAAAATTCAGCTCTGACCAACCTAAAGGAAATAAAATGTTCATAGCATGCACTCCAGAAGAAATTTTTTGTTACTGCTGTTTGAAACACTGGACAACCAAGATGTCCACTTGTCAGGGCCTCACATACCTTCACTTGAAAATAATATGAAAGATTCTCCCTTAAGTGGTTAAAATGATCACTGTGGGTGATAGGCTGCCATCTTCCAACTGAACTGTCTATAATAAAACTTTTTGTCTGTTACTCTGACCTCTGAGTTCATTGCATCCTTAATGCTTGATGTTGGAACAACCCTTTCACGTATTTCAGGGTATAAAACATTGAATTTTATGGGAGGACCATCAAACTCAGAGCTCATAGAGAAGATGGAGATTACTTAGCACAGACTAAACATGTAGCTTTGCATAGATAAAAAATTGAGCACTCCAAATTTCTAATCACATAACACTGGGGAAATTGGTTAACTTTTCTTATGTCTCAGTCACCTTATCTGTAAAAGGAGATCATTCATCTAGAACTGGCAAATGGATTACAAAAGTGCTTAGCCTGGTGCCAACACAAAGCACTTGGCATTACTTTGCTGAATTAATATTAATTGGGATTATTTAAGCAGTAATTTCTCAAAAATGTGTCCCTCAGATTATTAATCTCATGAACCCTCCCTTCTTCCCATCCCCCTAGAATTGACTCCCTGGGAACATAGCTGCAGAACAGGTTCCTAGACAGACTTGGCCAATCTAGCTTTTCCTTTTCATGCTTTTATTTCTCATAGTAACTGTAGAATACAACATCCTAACAAAGGGAAGTAGTATTTGCAACCATCCTGGTTATGTCCTTGCTCCTTCCAGAACAGGGTATACCACAGTGCTTGGTCTCAGTGATCCCAGTGATCTCTAGGACATAAGCTGAGAGTAGTGTGCTTTCAGGTTCCTCCACAATAATGACATGTGGGGCATGAGCAGATGAGAACCCATCTGCCTGGGCAACTTTCCTGAGCCTTGGATGACTGTCTTTCTGAGTTCTTAGACTTCTGTTTTTACTGCCTGTGAGGAATCTGCTTTGCCTGACTTCTTGCATGAATGTTCTCCCACTGGATTTATGCACGTGATAGCCTTTGCATCAATGTTGGGAAATATCTAAAAACTAACCTTCCTTGGAAAAACCGCAAATATATTTTTATATTACAGGATGGGGGAAGATATGCTGTACCTATTGCTTGTATCTATTTGATTTTGTTGTAGTCTACTGCTTTTAAAATGTCAACTCAGCCAGTCTCGATTTTCCATGAATTAATTACTCCTATATGCACTCAAGGGATGTATTGCTAAAGCTGAATTTACTCTGTGGGACTTGATCTCTACCAGCCTCAGATTCTTCTGAACTTGCTCTGTGGGCTTTACCTCTCCCAGCCTCAGCTATTGGATCAAGGTTGAACACCTCCACCAAAGAAAGCCAATTGATAAACTGGGGTAAAGGGCATCAAGTTTTTTTTTTTTTTTTTTTTTATTAGGAGTGGGTATGGGGGCCCAGCCCCCCAGTTTTGGACCGTGGATGGAGAAAAGCGGGACACCTCCACCAAAGAAAGCCAATTGATAAACTGGGGTAAAGGGCATCAAGTTTTTTTTTTTTTTTTTACTAGGAGTGAGTATAGGGGCTCAGCCACCCATGTCTGGACCGTGCATGTAGATAAGCAGGTAAAGAAAGAAAACAAAATAAAGCAGAAACCCAGAAAGAAGGTAGAGAGATCAGGTAATGGGTGGGAGGGGGTAGAGTTTACTGAGGTAAACTAAGCTTAAAATTCATTGTCTCTAACTTGAGAAGACCATTTTCAATGCTGTAGGCCTAGCAATGTGTTCATATGATATTTAGTTTTGTCAATAAAATATTTTTAGTTATAATAATTTGAGCATTGTCTCATTCCATGAATTTCCTTTCTATGACACTTCTTTTTAACTCCCAGGTAGTGTTGAGTGGACATGGTTATTTAGGAAAACTAAGAACCAATCAACTTGGGAATGCATTTTGTTGGTGTCTAGTGGGATGTACATTGGCAGATGACACTGATTTCCATTTAGTGAGCTCTTTTTAGCCCTTCTAATATAGGAATGTTACTGGTACTGTCCTTCTGCCAACTGCCGCTTTGTCTTATAATTCAAAGATGCAGGGCCAGAGATCTTATCACAGTACCTTTCAGTACACAACACTGGAAATATTGTAGTGGAGGCGGTTTGAAATGAGTTTTTTTCCAATATATTTTATTGAATTTTTGTGCATTTCATACACTCTATCTTAATCATATTTAGACCCCCCTCCCCTCTCTGCACCCCTCAATAGCACATCCACTAGATTTCATGTATTCTGTC